TCGTAACTATCCGAAATAAAGCTTATGCCAATGGCCTAAGTGGTCACCTTTAATATTAAAAAAAAAAAAAAAAAAAACATAAAAAATAAATAAATCAAAAACAATATTGTAATTAAATATAATGATTTACAGTAATACTCACTTGAAGATAATTTTGTTGGTTAGTATAGATAAATCCCATTGAACTCTATAATTGTTTTATGAATACTGCATTAACACAGATCCCAAATAGTCATGTAGCTAAAGGTCCTAATTCTTTAGTCAAGAGAAGGCAAAGTTCTAAAATTTTAACACATTTTCTTTAAATTGTTTATATATAGAACAATCAAATGGGTATTCATATTTCCTATATTTTTCAAACTTAAGTAGAATACAGGTTGGTTGATGCTTAAACCATGCTTTATAGTAATAAGTAATAAATTAGACAAGGTATGTAAAATTTAAATTATTAGTATTAGTTTTGAACCAAGTATCACAGATACTTGAATTTAAAAGAAAAGCCAATAACAATAACAGTTACTTCTATTGCTTCTACTTTTGTTCTAGCTATAAGATTATATACTTTGCTAAATTTTCATTAGGATATTCTTTCTATATTTTTAATATTCTACCAAAAGATTATAACACTTCATGAAGGCAAGCAGTATCTAATTGTAATTTATTGAGAACTTCACAATAAGGAAGAAGCAATAAGTGCAATGATTTTACTGAGTGCCAAAAATTATCATTGAGCAAAATTGATGTTATATTTTATGGAAGATAAAGTTTATCTAAGTTTATTGAAGATTGACCTAATTCATTGTCTGAATTTTGAGTTATATTATCTAATAAAGATTCATATATAGTAGCTAAATTCTTTTAAAAAAAAAAAATTAAGTTACTAGAGCCTTCATATTATAAAAAATGATTTTATTATTTTATTAACTTTGAAATTAACTATCCTATATAGATTAGTAACTGTGGATCAAATTTTCTTATAATATTACAATTATTGTAGATATAATTTTAAAAGAATATAAACTTACTCTCAAAGCCTGGTGGGATTTTATTAAACTTTTAAAGCAGTAGGTATAAGAATTCCAATGAGTATCTGCCAGACAAACTAGGGTAATACAGTCAACTCTGTATATAACGAACCTTTTTATAATGAACTCTGGATATAATGAACTTAAAATTTTTAAATTTTAATATTAATTTGGTATAACAAGAGCTATGGCTCTTAAAAAAACATAGTAATACTGTATAACAAACTTTTTTTTTGGCCAAAACCAAGGGTTTGGTATAGAAAGAGTTGACTGTACATGTTTTATATATTTGAAATTGTATATCTTGAAGTTTCTAATGAAATATGAATTAATTGCATAATTAAAATATAAAACTATTTTTAGAGCTTTTTTGGATACAACTTTAAATTTGTTAGATTCTTTGAAGATTTCTCCTATAGCAAAATTATATTGATGAGCAAAACAGGGTAGAAAAATGATTTTTGGATATATTAATCTTAACCGACGTCTATTTAAAATATTAATTTTTTTGTTAATAACTAATGGCTTATTATTAAATCATTTAGAACCTTTAAATAAAGATTCTTTTTTATTTATTTATTTATTTATTTTATTTATTTATTTATTTATTTTTTTTTTTTATAAAATTTTACCTAGCACTGGAATATGCTAGGGCACTATTAGAAACAATAGCAGATAATTTGGCACCTAGATCTGATGCTTCATTAATCATAGATTCAATTTTGAGAATAATTTTAATCATATATTTTCTCTCTGAGCTTATATCAGTTGCTTTTTAAATTAAAGTTTCTCCAGTTAATAAGATAAATAAAGAACTGAATATATGTTGTTTTAAAATATTTTTCCATATATCAAATGCTAAAATAACTTTAATCTTATTATTTTTTAGTTTTTGTTTATAAGACTAGGTCAAAGTGGACTTTTCAGTATTAAGAATATGATTAGATAAAGCATACTGACTAGGAAAATTAAGTTTTGGGTTTAAAAATTCAAAGAATTCCAAAGTAGCTGAATTTGTTATTTATCGAAAAGACCATCCATTTGAAATTGTTATCTGAAGTAATAGCTTTTCAAATTTTGGTTTTTCTTTTGCAATAATGCCCCAAACAATGAAGTTTGTTACAAAAGTTGATGATGATTTTTGTTTGCTATTGTGGTTAGACATAGTGGAAGTTGTAGTGCTACTGGTTATATCACTTGTGTCTCTATCATCTTATTATTTAAAAAAAAAATTTTTTTTTTTATCAATTTATTAATCAATTTATTAATAATGATATTTAATTTTTAAAAAAAATAAGGTTTTACCAAACATATCCATGTTTTGATACCTTTTTGCAATTTGAAAAGTAGACTCTTCTTCATTATCAGTTTTGTTGCAATATATATTTACTGCCTCTTGAGATTCTAGTTTAATACGAAAATATGGGCATTTTTTTAAGTGATTACAAACTGTATTTTTTTTATTTGTCAATGATGATTTTAAAGTTTTGTTATATTATCACAAGCTTTATATACACTGTATATATTGTGTTTATTTGTTGGCTTCACACCAAGTATGATAATATCTTTAGTGAATCTATATTTTTCAGAACTACCTGCATATTGTTGTGCCATTTTGTATAATATTTTAATAAATTTTATACTAAAGACAAGTTATTTTTTAAACAAAAAGTAATAGATAAAACTTTCAATTTGAAGAATGAACTTCTGAAGCTATATTTATTTATAAGCTTTTACAATTATTTAAAACTCAAGAAAAATATGTATAACTCACAAGTGAATTTATAATAAGCTAATTCGTATATATATTTAAGGGTTAATGGAAAAAAATATGCACACTTGAATACGTATCAGTCTATCTCCAAACTTATCCAACAATAGATAATAAGTATGTCTTTATTCAAACATTTTTGATTAAGAGGAATTGTGATATAGTAATTTCAATTTCAGTTATAAAGACCGAAATGCTGTATTATATTTTAATTATATAAATGCCACCAAGCAAAAAACTATACATTTAAATATAACATATATATAAATGTGTATGTTTTCTCTTGGTAGCACTCATATGATTGTTGCTAAAATTTCTATTAAATTGTTTATTAGTGTAGAAGGTTATAAAAGAAATTCTAATTTCCTTTTAAATTTTTTGATGCATATATTATATGTATACCGAAATTCAAAAAAAAAATTCCAACAGCAGATGTTGTTGAAAGCTCTATGTGCATATCTTTCAATTTATTCAAAGTAAGCATTGTTCTTGTCATTGTCTTTATATTCTCTATTTATTATATAATAATTTGTTTTTTATTTAATTTTCTATTTTAATTATATTATTGATACAATTGGCATGAGAATTCAAAGAATTTAGACTACAAAGTTGAAATTGCAAGTTTATTGATATATAATGCAATTTAGGCTAATCATTTTTAAGTCTTGGAATAGTAAGTATATAGAACATCTTTTTTATTTTATAATTCATGATCATAGCAATACTACTGGCAAAACCCCAAATCTCCAAAAATAATCAATAAGAGTTGAATTATTACATGCTCTCAAAACTGATATACATGGTAGACTAATTTTGTATCATTTTAAGAGGTTATCGAATTTGAAAACATATAATGGAAACAGGCTTGTTGGGCTAATTTTTTTTTAGATTTGACAGGTTATCGATTTTGGAATGTTTGACAATATATTTGAAATATTCGATAGGCCAAAGTTTGGGGCTTTAGTATGAACAAATCTAAACTATTAATTTAGAATTTTGCTGAAGTATAATATAAGCAATTTATTTCTAAGACTGGATGCATTTGGGTATTAATATATAATAAGCCTTAAACATTTTGTCTTTATTTAAAAGTTAAATAATTAAACATATGAAGTTGTGTTACAATTTAAATATTACACAATATGTATGTAATCAAATAAAGTTTATTACATTATTGAATCATTTTAATTATTAATTTTTACACTAAACTTTGTATATCCAATTTGTTAATGCATAGTATATTCACCAATGTTTAATAAATATATTCATCAGATACATGAAATAATATAGTTATTGCATGGGTATATGAATAACCCATGGCCTTCGGTCATAGTTATTTACTACATACCTATAAAATCTAATTCAAATATTAGAAATATCAATTACTAGACATCACTGGACATCACTGATCATCACTGAAACTTCCATCCAGTGGTAAAAAAAAGTTAACTAGAAGGTCTAGTAACAACTTAATACTGAAACTACTATATTTTCCAATTCTATCCAGTAAATTCCAGTTAACCTTCTAGTTCTTGTAATCATCACTGAACCTTCCAATTAACAACACTGTTCTAAATTATGTTAAAAAAAAGAATCTAGAATAATTTTATCAGTAATTATTACTAAATAAAATATAATTAATGATAATCAAATTTGATATATTCCCACTCTTCCGCTAATCACTTGTACCAAACTTGGAGCTAAAGAAAAACCAAAATTAGACCAAAACTTTACTAAGTCAACAAGTGGTTTAGTCTTAAACTGAAAAATAGAGTAAAAGAAAATAACTAGAGTCTCTTAAAGCAAGATTTGTTTACATAGCCTTGGGAACTCGCCTGGGGAAAAAATTTAAAATTTTGACAACAATTCAAAATTTCTTGAAAATTTTGGGAATTTGGCTCTAACCCAGTTTCACAGATCACAAACAATCAAAACAAATTAATATGTCTATAGTAAACAAATAAACAAACAAGCATATATCTATAGACAAACAACCAACACAACAATAAATATGTACAGAGTACAAATAAACAAACAACACGTATAAGATGCCAGAACTGAGTATATACAAAGATTTTTTCAATAAAGCAGAAGAGGACAAAGTAGTTATTCAAGAAAAACAAAATAGTTTTATCTGGAAAAAAGATAAAAAAGTAGCAAAATATCTTGGCACAAGTGAAATTTATCTGACCACAAACATGTACAACACAAAAAAGCAAGAGAACAAAGTCTAACAGAAGAGGAAAAAACCCTACTAGACCTTTCTAATATTAATGTATCAAAAACAGACAAGGCAACAAAGCAGTTGCAAGAAGGCCTTACAAAAATTAAAATTGAACCCCTCCTCATGAAAGGAATATGCACAACATCTTCCAGAGTAATAGTGAAAAAACTCAATACTACAAAGATTCATGAAGAAGAGATATCAGATTGCAATACAAACCAAATGATGCACCAAAATAATACAAAGAAAACCTAGTTAATAGTTGAAACAGTTTTGATAGAAACT